CTGCAATGATTTCTATGTAAGGCCTTCTTTACCACTAAGTCTATCCAATCCAGGTAGGACAACCTGGGATTGTGTTGGGGTGATTGCCTTGACCTGGTATTTGCTGCCAAATTTTATTTATTTATTTTAATATGCTGTACATTCCTAAAGACTCTGAAACCTGAACATATGCACCTGCACAACATGCACCTTACATTACAAAACAAATAAACAACCAAACAATGATAGGTTCAACAACTAAACTCTTGGCCTGGGAGCAAAGCTGTTTTCAAGGATGTACAGAACACTTGGCTGCACAAATCTCTTTGAAGATGTTGTTCTACTGCATTGTTTCTTTTCCTCCCTTCAACCAAGATTATAGGAGCAAGGCTAAAAACACTTTTCTCTTTCTGGTAATTGAGAAATGTAATAGCATGTTAAGTCCAATATCTGGTTGTGAATCTAGTGAGGCTTAGGTCTTCTGAGGCATGTTACCAGATTACTATGTCTAGAAGGCACAGATTGACACCAAAGAAAATGTCTTTTTGGTGTAGCATATTGAATTTACTGAGAAACATAAAATAGCAAAGAAAACATGGGCAATTGTTAAGATTTGAGAAAAGGATTAGGCACAGGAACAAAGCAATAATAGGAAGGCACAACCATGATGGCCATTATATCGCAGAAAATATAGCTCTAAAAAAACCTGTCTGTCTCCAGTACGTGCAAAATAAAATCAACTGCTAACATCACTTTCTCACAAGAAGTCTTTGGGGGTTTGATTCCTTGCTTATTGCGAATTTGACACCACAATTTACAGGTGGAGGACTTATGTTTCCTTTCATTTCTTATCCATATCTAGGTAATGCTTGTAGTGAAACAAATGAACAAAAAAATACAATAAACCTTCCAGAAATTCTTCTACTCTATAAGTTTTACCTACTAGAGGCAGAGTTGATTGGACTTCAAATCAGTTATAAGTTTATCTAGAAGAAGCTTTAGAATGTTTGCATAGCTGGAAGTGTCTATTACATAAACTTTCAATGTTCGCACTATAAATAAAATGAATCTAAAGTAAATTCAATCACAACCAGGGCATGGAAACAGTTCATGGCATTCCTGGAGGTGGGGACCAAGGAGTCAAAAAGATGTAAGAATGTTATAGTATTGCAATATACAATAGAACCTCTGGTCATGAACGCTTCTGACCACGGCCAATTTGGGTTCCAACCAAAAAAATCACAAATTTTTTGAATCTCGTCATGAATACATACACGGGTGGTGATCAAACATGACCCCCCAACCCAGAAATTCTGAAAGACGAATCATTAGAAGATGAAGAAATCACCAAAGTTATAGAACAAATTATGGTTGTGACCAGAGGTTCTACTGTAAGTCTCATACGTGTGTCCCAATCTTGCATAAAAACCCAAAAGGGGCAGAGATTGCAGTTTATGTAAATTTTACATTAAAGTTATTTAATTTTTCCTCTTAACATTGTTCAAATATTTGAATTTAACAAAAAGCTGAGAATGTATCTACTCAGTGGTACTGAAAACAGGAGCTATGTCATGTTGTATTACTTTGGTGTGTTTTGTTACAGAGATAAGAACTAATTAGTTTGCTTCTCCTAAGAATTGCAATCTATCATGTCAATGTGCCATTCTATATGAAAATGAGAAACGTCTAGCTTTAAAGAAAATTTTTGAAAGGTAAAGATACATAATATACTCAGAAGTTCCCTAAAGATTTTCAATAGCTGCAGTATTACCAGTGGATATATTGGAAAGCAAAAGGAAATGAAAATAAACAACCAATAATATTCAGCTTCATTTGAGTAACGCTGTTAAATGCAGTGACACAAACAATATGTAGTACCATGGAGTGATCTTACAGAAATAAATTTGATTTTAATACATTACATTTTAAAATGAAATATAAAAGTATTCTTAAGTAATTTGAAAAAAGTTCTATTAAGAACACATATGGGTTTTATTTATGTTTGTTTTCTTCAGTACATTTTGATGTACAAGGACAAATCTTGCTTTTAAAAATGGCTTTTTAGTGCAATTCTTTATTACGCTTCTCTAAATTAAAGAGGCAATGTATGTTCCTGCTCAATAGAAGTGCCAACTGTTTATGTGTAGTTTTGAAGCCCGCAGTCTTAATTCCTATGACTCTTTTTCTTTAATAAAACTACACAGACCTTCAAACAAAGAAAACTTCTAAATAGGGGGTTGTTTTTTTGGCACTCCTTCAAATGTCCTATGCAAAAGAAGACTGATGATTATTCTTTTACAAATCCTACCATTTAGAAAAATGGGAATATTTATGGTGCTAAACTGAAGACATCTGTACCAAGCAGCACGATCTAAATTAGGGACTGGATTTTCATCACTCTCTCTGGAAAGCCACAAACATGGTCTAATTTAATTTGAATGTAACAAAGGAACATCCAGAGATTTTGATAATATTCTGGTTCCTACTATTATAGTATACCCAGCAGCCAGATCCATAACTGAGATTGATTTGAGATTATTTATTACCATGGCAACTGAAGTAAATTTGAGTACATCAATGGAGGCATGTATTAATATTAATTTCCATATTCATGATTTTTTAAAAGTGTGCAGGCTCTGTAACAGTTTAATGTCTCTCTTTCCTTCTCCATCTTTTGTCATTTGTTTTAATATCTGGGTCAGTTAACTTATTTATTCTATTTTACTAATTATAATAATTCTTTCACCTACCCCCCAAATATACTGAGTCTCTGGATCTCCTAGTTGATCCTTGCTGTGGTGTTTTGTTGTATTTTAAATTGTAACTGCAAAAAAGAGAGAAATTAGAGGTCATAGATATTATTTTCTCCTCTAGTTTTATGATCTTGTAAAGGTTTTTTTTCTCTGTAAGGAAAGAAAAGTCTTGCCAACAAGCCAAGTGAAATTATGAACTTCCTCTTGGGAGAAATTTAGACAGTCTCATTTTGCTTCCTTAGGGCTATTTTTAAACTCTAGGTGAATCACCACCTCCCAGCAGACATGAGAGAGCATCTGCATTCAAGATATCTGAATCTTAAGTACTTTAACAGTGTTTGGTCAACCATGGAGTATAAAGCAACAACTTTCTTGCAAACTATTTAGGCTGTAGATTGCTAATAGGCTAATATGACTGCATTTGGACTGATTTCTGCTTAGCAAAAGTATGGCTTGAAAGATGTATTGAAAACTCCCATGTGCCAAATTGGTATGAAGGTTGGAAAGACTGATAAAATCTCCTTCAACCATGTCTAGATTACTGATAATCCACTAAGTACATTCACCTATTAGCAAAAGTCCTGGATCATCTGTCATCTAAAAGACCTCAATTACTTTGATCAATGATTCTTTTAGAAGTTTGAAATGTGGTACAATATGCTAATAATATAAGGTAAATGCACAAAAATACATCTATCCCTTGATCACCTTACTTATTCTTCTCTAGGCCTGAGTTCACCCAATTGTCTTGGTTATTATAATTACTGGTCAGTGAATAAAGCAGAAGCACCTAGCACATGTAATAATTTAAACTAAATTTGTATACCAATGATTGCATGATCTCTATAAATGCCATATGCTAAACACACCTAGCACATACAACTTGCAAAGCTATAACTCAGTTTACCCAACGATTGGGTTCACACTGTGCTCTAATCTTGTTAATTGGATATATGTATGATCATGTGTATGGATGTGTGTGTGTATTTAATACTAGCAAGTAGTATTAAACTATTTATTATGAAAACAATAATTATAATGATGTGTGTTTGTTTGAGCTTTAAATGTTGTATAAACCCAAGTTGTCAGTTTTATACAGTTTATAGCCATCTATATATTATAGAAAAATAATTGAATTATGTATCGGTTCTATCTGTTTAAAGCATCCATTTTGCATTTAGAACTCCATCACAACCTTATAGAAAATAATAATCAGATACAAAACTTTCAGACATCCAGTAAAATCATGTCATTGGTCTCCATGGTTGTGGCGTAACCTTCTATGTGAACTTGATTATGGCCTATTAAAACATGGTTAAAGAAAACATAGTTTAACCTGACATAATATGGGCCCCTTCAAGGCACTATTTGTTAAATTTACTCTAATGTTCTTTTATGAATATGGAACCTGATGAGGACTGAATAACCATTTTGTTCAAGAACAAGAGTAGGAAATTTCCAGTTCCTATAGCTGAGGTATGTTCCATGCTTAGAAGTGGCAGGAGTTGTAGTCTACATTCCTATTTTTTATATTCTGTTAAATTCAGAGAGAAACTATATTATCTATTCTCAGTTGAATTCACTGGGTGCTTAATTCCAGAGTGGGGATTACTTTACTAAGGAAGTTATTTTTTTATTTTTATTGTATGTTTCCCTTTGGTATGGAACCTAACTAGAAGTAAGAATAAGATAATGCCTGGGCTGTGTGTTCATTTCGTTTAATAGGAAGCATAAAGTAGGGGGAGTGTGCGTCCGTGTACAGTTTTTCACTATCCTTCTGTAAGATTCTGCAACTGTGGGTTGGACTGCAACTACCATCACTTCCCAGCCAGAATGCACTTTAATGCCTCTGAAAGGCACCCTGTCGAGGAATGCGGTCCAACAATGCCTGCGTTCCTAACTGCAAAACAGGCTCTTCTGCACGAAAAAGAACCTGGGCCCTTCTGTCCGGACGTCTCCCACACAGAAATCTGCGGGACGTGCATGGCCGGTGTAAAAACTCAGAGCCGGGATGTTCCTTCACACCAACGCCGCTTCCGAGCGACATGAAAGGAAGCACCTCATCCACATTCCGCCCGCACCTTTTTTCTCTCTCTTCCTCTCCCCCGGGTGATTCCCGGGCGACGTCCAGGGACTCTTTCAGCAGCCGAGCCAGGCCCCGCCCGTCTTCCTCCCCGCCTCCCGCGTGTCATTCACTCTTTGCGTTTCGGGCCCTCCCCTCCGGCAGGCCCATATACTCTCTTGCCTCGCACTCGCCGAGGCCACAGGAGGAGCGGCGCCCCTCCTCCTCGGCCTCTCTCCGCCTTCTTTGCAGCAGCAGCAGCGCCACCGCCGTCGCTCTCCTTCCTACAAGCGTGTGGAGACAACCGGGACAGCCGCCGAGCAAGGACCGCGCTGCGCTTCTGGTCTCCCGGAGGGGAAGGTGGGCGCTCTCGGTCTCTCCACGCGAGACGAACTACCAGGGAGAGGCGCCGGCTGGAACGTGCGCGACGAAGGACAGAGCTTGGCTCCCCATGCCGTGAACTTGCGCCGGCTCCCAGGAGGCAGGATCCGAGGAAGCGGCGGCTGTAAGTGAGACCCTCGCGCGCTGACCTGTTGCCGCGGGAACAGGTTCGCGCCTAGGCGGCCGTTGGGGAGGAGAGCCTAACCCGGCTCGGTGAGCGCCGGTTGTGGGTCTTTGCCGGAGGGATGGTGATGGTGGGAGAAGAGAAGACGCTGCCTCGTCTGCAGACTTGAGTCTAGCCACAGATCGCCGTGGTTCACTCAGAAGGAATCGCTGCTGAATTCAGCGCGATTTATTGTATTCCTGAGGAGAGGGGCTGCAGCGGGAGACCCGAAAGCGATTTTGTTTTCGGTCCAGGGGTCCCTTAATGGGTCCCAGAGAGGCGGTTTGGACACCCTGCCAGGAGTTTTAACGCTGAGGGAGCACCGAAACTATTCCCTGTTAGAAAAAAAAAAAAGGTGCGGGGTCAGAAGGTGCAACTTCTAAGCTGGCTTTTGATTTCCTGAACTCGGGTCGACCTTAGCCTCTCTAATGCTTTGCGCTTAGAGGACTGGGTCGGTGCACCTCCAGGCAGGACGCGTTTGTTCCTTTCCGCCCTACAGGAAGGAGGAGGGTCAGAGGGTGTGCTGCTTGCTTCCTTCCTTTCCCAGGGCTGCCTGCCTGTTTCCCCCTCCTCCTCCTCCACTTCAAAGCGAAGAGGGGGAAGCGGGAGGCAGCCGTTGAGGGAGCTTTTGTATTTTGCTGAAGAGGGGCGCACGTGGTTCGCTGCTCTTCCGCGTATTTGCAGAAGGTGCGCGAAAAGTAGAAAAGAAGTGGGGTCCGAGCTATGCCCGGTTTACCTTTAGCTTCCAGCACCATTTGGTCCTCGGAATTTAAAACAAGATGTATTGAAACATGATGGGAAACTCTTCCTTCAAACACACATTTTATTCCCATCTCTTCTAAAATCGAAAAAAAAAAATTGGAAGCTTAAGTTTACCAGCTTAAAAATAAAACTCGGAGAGGATGTTTACACCTGTATGAAGTTATGGAATGAAAGAAACCCGTGATATCAGAAGATACTAAGTTTCTTTTCTTTTTAAACCGGTGGACTTACTGCTCATTCAACTGTTTCTAGTGAATAGAAATCCATTAATTATAGCAAAGGAAAAGAGATGGCTGCATACCAAAATTAGCAAAATAAACAACAGAGCAGATTCTTTACCTAATGATATGTGTGGTATAATGTGATAAGCTTATCACTATTTGCTTAGTAACTGAGCCCACCCCTCTTGTAGCTCTTTTGAAGTCTGAGCCATTACACAAAGGAAGTAAAAGATTTGCTTCTTTGGCTGTTTTCTCATATTGACATATTGCTGCATTGAAAAACAAAATTATTTAAAAGATACCATGTAGATACTGGATTAGCTGCTAAAAGATTTTTAAGATTAATGAAAGCTATAAAATTTACAAGCTTGAATGTGCTTACTTAACCTGTGCGTGCATGTTCTTGAATAATTTTTAGAAGAGCTATCCAAATTCAGAATAGTGGAAAATAACTTTCCAGTAATGTGTTTTTATGTCTCTCTTTGCACAAAGAAATAATGATTGTAGTCAGTTCTTTAATTATTTCCATTGACTTGACCACACTATCAATTTGGTTTGGGAACAAAGTAAAGCTTCCAAATTCAATGGGGACATAGTTTGTAATTCCAGAGGTTGAACAACAAATAATGAAGGATAGTAATAGCCTTGTGCTATTTGGGAATTAATGCTGGAAATCTTTTGATAGCTTAATATTGGAAACAGATTGAGGATAAAACACAGATTGAGAATAAAGTTCGTCTCACAAAGTCATTTCTTCTAAACTAAGATGTGTGAGGAAAACATATTAATAGCAGGATCCATCAGTTCCGTAATTGTTCCAAAGAATTCATAATACACAATAATTCACACTTCAATCCTTATGTACCCTTTCCCCCCTTCTGTTTAATCCTGTCTGATTTTCAGAGTCTGTCTGGACAAAACCCTGCAGTTTCCTTGGAAATATTTTTCAGGAGTAGTTTACCATTGCCTCCTTCTTAGGACTGAGAGGGAGTGACTAACCCAAAGCAATTCAGCTGGCTTTATGCCTAAATTGGAACTAGAACTCACAGTCTCTCAATTTCTAACCTGATGCCTTAACCACTCCACTAAACTTGCTTTCTAATGTAGCTTTGCCTGTGAACAAATTCTACCTAGTTGTTTGAGGTTTATTTAAATCATGTATATGTCTGAACTGTTAATTTCAATATATTTTAGATATACAATTTAAGTTTTATAAGAAATTATCCGAATGGCATTGCCTTTACTTGATGGTTTGTTTGGTGTTGCAAATAACTTGGTAGAACTATTTATGGCTTAGAATTATAGAACTGGAAGTGGCTATTCAGACCATGTAGTCCATACTTAGACAGTTTGCAATGGACTGTATTTGATAGGTTGTGGGACCCAGAAAGGTCTGAATAATAGGGAGCTTACATAAAGAATGTATTAGCATAGAACCACATGGGAGACAATCAATAAATTGTATTGTTAAAAGTCTTCAATATTTATTAGAGTAGTCTTTTCGAGCCATTTAAGATAAAATTGCCTAAGCACATATTATATTAGGAAACATATAGATCTTAGAAGAAATTACTACATAATTAGCGATATATCAGTGTTAGAGTATATTTTCATCTTGTGTTATTAGAAGAATGCAAACAATAAAACATCACTTAGGCATAAATATTTTTGAATTTGCAGCCTTATTCTAACAGAAGATATGTTTGGATTAGCATCTACAACTCATAATTTGCAAAACAAACAAATAAACCTGAAAAGTGTGTGGGGGAGAGGGTTATTTAAAAGTGTTTTAACTTTGTTTTTAAAAATGGGAATAATATAGTTGAATTTAAGCAATTCATGTGGTTCGAGGTTCTTCTCCATAAATGACCTAGGACTATACATTCCCATGCTATTAGGAAATTGTAGGTGTTTCAGTTCATATATATAAAGAAGGTAGATTAGTGAAAGCTAGCTTAATCAGAAGAATCTTTTAATTCATAGGAAATTATTTTAAGATTTTAATTTGGTACAACATCTATATCATAGCTGTGATGTTGAAATTCGTAGTAACCATTAGCTGGCAACAAATAGCTACAATACTTTGCTGCTATCTAGTGGTCATGTGCATTTTGCATTCCAGTTGTAATAAGTGTGAAGTACAGTTACAATTATGGTCTCCTTAACAAATTAACAAACATACCCAGTGATGGGTAAATTTATCTTTTAACCATTTCTTTTGAGTAGGTGTAGCAGGTATTGAAACAACCATGTTTTCCTCCAAAAATACAAATTATTTTTTAAAAGGAAATTTCTTTTTAAAGAAAAGAAAAATCCTTTATAGTAGTAATTAAGTGATCAACAAGTCAAAAAATGAGAATAATTGGCTATCAAAGTGTATCATAGTGTGTATAACGATGCTTAATTGTTACAGATATCATCTCATATAAAAGTTTGATTTTTCATTTATGTAATTTATATAGCCGCCCAGCTCTTAAACTGTAGCTGATGTATTAAAAACATGAAAATGATAAGTAATGGACACAAAAAAGTACAACTTATTTCCCCAACTTGTATTACTTGGTTTTGAATAAATATTAGAACCAAACTGCAAAACTTCTAATCTCTTAGCAATTTCTACACATACTTAGCAGTGGCAGCACCTTTACAAATGACAAAACATTAGGGAAGGGTGCTGTCACAAAGTAATACTAAACAGGAAAATTTTGAGGAATCACAGGCAACATTAGGATCCTGAACCACTCATAGGATCCACTCATTCCTGAATTCTCACTTTCCCTACTTGCTCATCTTTTCCCTGAAGGAAGTGAGACTGTATTGAATTGAGACATGCTTTCTGTCCTGAGCTCATAGTCTGTTACCCATTTCTAAGTCCTGACCAAGTCCTCTCAGGTGTCATATCTGACTCATAACTAAATAGCAGCTTAATGAGTAGTTCAGCCTCCTTTTGCTAAGTTCTGTTGACTTTTTCTGGTCTGGTGAGAGGTAGTCTTGTGGGAAAGTTTTATGGAGGTCATGTCAGATTATATTTTTGTCTTTCTTCACTCCTTCCTTAGCTGTGGAGATAGTCTTTTTCTATGGGCAGTAGTGGTTTCTATGACACCTGAACAGGTTGGACCTGTGCAGCTGGTAGGAACATCTCCAGGGACTTCTGATTCTGTTGTGAATGAAAGAGTTCTCCATCAGAGTCAACAGCATATTGTCTTCCCTGATCATCTACTTGCTATTCCTTGCACATTACTTGTTTTTTTCAAATTAGGACAACATTCTTGAATGTGTAATTATAAGACCAAAAATTACAATTTGCAGGTATCTTGTCATAGGTTGGGATTGCAGTCAGTATAACCTCTGAACACACACAATGGCTCCTTCAATATGTTGGAGACATCTTATTGAAGCAGGATAGATGACCATGCCTGGAAGGGGATAGAAAGGAGATTTTTTGTTGCTGAATCTTAATTCTTTTGAGATGGCATAGCTGGAAAGTAAACAACACTTGTTGGCAGATTCTCTCAATATCAGCAGGAGAGTGGTGTTATAAATGCTCAGGGCTGTTTTCACTGGCAGAATTGAAATTTTGCTCCAGCAAAATGGTTAGGTTCACACAACATTCCAAACCAGAATGTTATTTCCTTTTCATTTAGTATTAATATGTTAATATGAATCAAGGTACTCTCAGTGGTGGCTTAGCAGAACCTAATGATTAGTTCAGAAATTGTGTCTTATTCTAACCCTGGCGCCTTTGTAGTACTTTTAAATTCTGTTTTCCACTGAATGTTCTTACTTTGAGAAAACTTTGATCCTGTATAGTTTAAGCATATTGAGATTTGGGGGATTTTCCTCTCCTCCCCCAGCATTGGTGGAAGTTCCTATTTACAATAGGATTTATATTTTCAAGTCAGCTTGTTCCTTTCATAATTTTTGGTCTTTTGCTAAATTGGTGGGAATAAAGAAATCTGGAATATACTAGGCTGAGAAACTCTTTCAGCATATAATTAAATCACATGTGTGCCACCTTAAAGTATCTGTTGCTGGAGAGATATGTAGCTTTGAGGTAAAAATCTACTGGTAACATTATAGTAATTAAAGTAAAATAAGCTGGGAATGATCTATTTGTGTCTAACTTTTTACATATTTTCATGCTGTGGGTGGAATTGATTTTATCAGAATGTAATCTTAATAAGGTTAATTTGTGGATGCCTGTGTTCCTTGAAGTATTCCTTACTGTAACGTCCTTGTTGCTTATCCGACTATGAGTCAAGGCAGAAGCATGTTTTAAAATGTGTGTGTCAGTGCATAATTATTAAATCAGCTGCTGTATGCTGGAAAGGTGTGGGAAGAAAATCAGACCTGTCTTTTTTTTTTTCACCCATTCTGAAACTGCCACTTATATCGTTATGAAAGTGGGAGGTCTGGTTTGCCAAGATAATCCTGCTGTCTTGAGCAATTATTTTTAGACTATGCCAGTTAAGAAATACATAGTAGGAAAAACAGGCAGGGGATTGGATATCCTCTGCTCCTGTTTGATGTTGCTTAGCATATTCTTGTGTTTTGCAGCTGTGTTAAAAAAAACTCCACAGTTTTAAATCTTGGAAATAAACTCTGTAGTCAATGGATAGACTTCCCAGTAGATGTGTATAGATAACTTGCTTTTAAAACATTCTATATTGTATTTTGAGACTTCTTAATCATATTTATTTTTTTAACATTTAGGTGTGGAAGAAAATGTCAGTCAGCATGCACGAGAATCGGAAGTCTAGAGCCAGCACTGGCTCTATAAACATATATTTATTTCACAAATCTTCATATGCTGATAGTGTCCTCACTCATCTGAATCTGCTGCGTCAACAGCGTTTATTTACAGATGTACTTCTCCATGCTGGGAACAAGTCATTCCCGTGTCATAGAGCTGTTCTAGCTGCCTGTAGCCGATATTTTGAAGCCATGTTCAGTGGCGGTCTTAAAGAAAGCCAAGCCAGTGAAGTCGACTTCCACAATTCCATCCATCCAGAGGTTCTAGAACTTCTCCTGGACTATGCGTACTCTTCAAGGGTCATCATCAATGAAGAAAATGCAGAGTCCCTTTTGGAGGCAGGTGATATGTTGGAATTCCAAGACATTAGAGATGCTTGTGCAGAATTCTTAGAGAAGAACCTTCATCATACTAATTGTCTTGGCATGCTGCTACTGTCGGATGCTCACCAATGTACCAAACTTTATGAGCTCTCTTGGAGGATGTGCCTTAGCAACTTCCAGACCATCAGTAAAAGTGAAGATTTTCTCCAGCTTCCAAAAGACATGGTTGTTCAGCTGCTTTCTAGTGAAGAATTAGAGACTGAAGATGAACGTTTAGTATATGAGTCTGCCATGAACTGGATTAACTATGATCTAAATAAACGCCACTGTGATCTGCCAGAATTATTGCAGACTGTGAGACTGGCTCTTTTGCCAGCCATATATCTAATGGAAAATGTGGCTACTGAAGAGCTCATCACCAAGCAAAGGGAAAGTAAAGAGATTGTAGAAGAAGCAATCAGGTGCAAATTGAAGATTCTGCAGAATGACGGTGTAGTCACTAGTTTATGTGCTAGACCTCGAAAAACTGGGCATGCCTTATTTCTTCTGGGAGGCCAGACTTTTATGTGTGACAAATTATATCTTGTTGACCAAAAAGCAAAGGAGATCATTCCAAAAGCTGACATCCCAAGTCCAAGGAAAGAATTCAGTGCGTGTGCAATTGGCTGTAAAGTCTATATTACTGGTGGTCGAGGATCTGAAAATGGAGTCTCTAAAGATGTTTGGGTATATGATACACTTCATGAAGAATGGTCCAAAGCAGCTCCAATGCTAGTTGCTCGCTTTGGTCATGGTTCTGCTGAACTCAAACACTGTCTATATGTTGTAGGAGGTCACACAGCAGCCACTGGTTGTCTTCCAGCCTCTCCTTCAGTATCCTTAAAACAAGTAGAACAGTATGATCCTGTGACTAACAAATGGACAATGGTTGCCCCACTTCGAGAAGGAGTAAGCAATGCTGCTGTAGTCAGTGCAAAGTTAAAACTCTTTGCTTTTGGTGGTACCAGTGTCAGTCATGATAAGCTTCCAAAAGTACAATGTTATGACCTGAGTGAAAACAGGTGGACTGTACCAGCCACTTGTCCTCAGCCATGGCGATACACAGCTGCAGCTGTTCTCGGTAACCAAATTTTTATTATGGGTGGAGATACTGAATTCTCTGCTTGTTCAGCTTATAAATTCAACAGTGAAACCTACCAGTGGACTAAAGTGGGAGATGTGACAGCTAAGAGAATGAGTTGCCATGCTGTTGCATCTGGAAACAAATTATATGTTGTGGGAGGCTACTTTGGAATCCAGAGATGCAAAACATTAGATTGTTACGACCCCACGCTTGATATGTGGAACAGCATAACCACAGTGCCCTATTCACTAATCCCAACTGCATTTGTGAGCACATGGAAACATCTCCCTTCTTAATAACTGCATGTGTGCCTATACAGGTGAGAAATTGCTTATTGAAAATATAAGTGGCTAGGTTCACTTTTTTTTTACAAATATAAACTGCAGAGATTCATTTGAATAAACAGCAAGCAAAAAAGCTGGTATGATTCAACCAGTACATGAATAAAGATAAGATCTGTTTCATAAGATACTTTGTTCATATATGAGAATTATCCTGATTACCCCCAGTTAAATAGTGCACGAATTGGTCATGCTCAAGAATACCTATTAGTAATTTCTGTTATCTATCCATGATTATTAATTCATAGGCATATTTATGTAAGATTGTTCTTAAAGGTAATTATAGGTTGTTCACATAGACAAATTCCCCCATTTGCAAATGATTTTGACAAAATGCCATCTAGGAGAAAATCTACTTAGTTAAAATTATAGTTTTTGTTCAGTTGTGTCCCATTCTTTTAAGAGTTATCCACACTTTACTGTTTAAATGGAAATAAAAGATCAGTATAATTAATGTACGAGTGATTAGTGGAACTGATTACACTCACACAAACACTTATATACTATTTGTGTGTGTGTGTGTGTATATAATATATATATATATAATGATTGGAGCAAGCAAAATCATTGCTAGTTCTGATGTGCATAGGGGCAACAATGTAAACTGCCTATTTATATTTTGAAATGACACTTTATATGAAATACTATAAGATTATATCCTGGACTTTATGGAATTGGGACTATTAATTACTGAAGAAATAAGAATCTACTTCCCCAGGGTGGGGTAGAGTTAGTAAAGAGAATTATTGTGTGTGATGGTGAATCATCCTGACCTTATGTTTAAAAGACATACCAGTTAGCTTAAGTAATTATTGGTTTATAACTTGGGATGTATCAAAGCCCATAAATTCAATCTGAAAGTTTAGTGCAGTAGTCCAGATGTGCACCTGATGTGGTTAGGTGCAGTGTTGGTGATTTTAATGGAATGGTTTCTGCTTATGAACTATTTGAACTAGCTCATGCAGATAGCTCTATTTCTTTTTGCTACATTTCTATTATTATTATTATTATTATTATTATTATTATTATTATTATTATTA